TTTTGAAAATTTCATAATAAAATATTTAAAATTTCCAGCTTCAGCCGTTTCCAGCTTCAGCCGCAACAATAATTTTTTTTTACATAAACACGCATTTATTTTATTTCAATAATAACTAAAATTTATTCTTCAAACCCATCAAGGTCAAGATCTACAAATAAGCAAGGTAAACACAATACACAATTTGTAATTGTAACAATTTGTCATTGATATTTCATAAATACACTAAATTTTTCATCTTTTAACAATAGGTTGATGCACAATCAAAAATAACACACGAAGTACCTCAGGTACATTAGGATCAACAACACTGTATTTTTTCATTGATAAGCATTAATGCTCATAAAACTTTTCACTTCTTGAAATCTTGAAACAGGTCAACATACAACCGGATACCTCCAAGAATAATATTGATATTAATCATAATATTAGTAAGAACGGTGATGGTGATAATGTTGTAGTACCCAAAGAGTCGTCGAAAATGTACAAACAAAGGAGTGACCTAATAGTTTTGTCAGAACAAATCAGATTTGATTACAAACAACTTGGTCTAATGTTCGCGTCTATGCTATTGGCATATCAAGCTGGAAAATTCAGTGGATATTTACATTAATTGCTCAAGCCATTGATATGAATAATGTTTTTAAATTACTCATAAATAAGCGTATGGCAAATTTTCATATTATTTATTCTTTTATCATACAAAATTGTTAATTTAATTAATCATATTAATCATTATTAAATATTTGAGGTTCAGAATTTGCATTGTTATATATATAAATTTAACCGATGTGATTCTTTAGCTTTGTGTTTAGAAGTTTACATTATTAAATTATAAATAGAAATATTTTTAAATTTAACCTATAATACTTTATAATTTTGTCGCCACGAAGTAGAATGCAAGCATTGCATATGCACTATATTTATTGGTGTTTCCTGCGCATATGAAAGGAGGTACTTTAAATTTTCTGATACATATTTGGAATATCTTAACGATCACGCATAAAAAAGTTACTTGTGACGAGAAGAGGTTTCTATTGTGAATTTGATAGGTCATTATTTAGAAAGTATTATGCATAACAAACAAAAAATAAATAAATTATACATGTTTTACATGCCTTTATATAGCACCAATAATCATCGTGTAAGCATAAGATTCCGCAATATTCATAACCGTCATACCCGTCGTACTTTTATATAGCAAGAATAAGATACACTTTTCTTTTTTTTTTTTCTTTTTTTTTTTTTTTTTTTTTGTTTTCAATAAAGAAACAAATTATCCGACCGTGCATATGTCATCATACTTATTCATTCGTTTATTTACCCGCATATAGCACGCAAAAAACGAAATGGAGTATTTTACATTTTGCTGTGTGTGTAAAGTTACTCCTGTAGATGTAGATAAACTATCAGCAGAACCAAGAAGTAGATTTTGTTCAGAAAATTGTAGAAAAGAAGCTTATGCTCTTGGTTTAGTTGATAGAGAAAAATGTCGTCATTGTGGGATTTCACCAAGATTGGTTCTTTCAAATGGTAGAAAAGTTGATTACTGTGGAATGACTTGTAGAAAAGAGGCTGAAAAACATAAAAGTAGTGGAAATTCTAAATCGTCATCCTACAATAATTCTAGTAATAATAAACGTTCTTCGGTAAATCTAATGTTGACACCAGACAAACCTACTTATCAACCTAAATCAAAACCAACCCCTTTACTTCAGAATAATAGCCCTAGTATTAAGGCTAGTAAAAGTTATGATAATTTGTTATCAACCTCTTCACGTCCTACTCCAAAACGTAGCTCCACATATTCATCAGACGGTTATTCAAGGACTTCATCTAATAATAAGAATAATGATAGTAATAGTCTTTCACCAGGTTCACTAAGTCCAAAAAAAAGAAATTCATTAAGTAGCTATTCTTCATCATTTTTAACCGCACCACCACATCATAATTTCCAACCACGTTCATCTCGTAGTAGTCTCTCTTTACGTTCACCAAGTCCAACGAACAGAAGTTTGATTAATGATGATGATGATGATGATGATGATTCTTTGATTTCAGTTAAACCACCGTCTCCAAAATCACATAGTTCACATAGTTCACATAGTAATCACTCTTCACGTTCACGTTCACCAACTCCGATAAAAAGACGTTCAATCAATGATGTTGATTCTTTGATTTCAGTCAAACCACCGTCTCCAAAATCGCATAGCTCACATAGTTCACATAGTAATCACTCTTCACGTTCACGTTCACCAACACCGATAAAAAGACGTTCATTCAATGATATAGATCCCTTAATTTCAATCACACCACCATCTCAAAATTTGAATAATAATCTCACCCCACGTTTGCCAACTCTAACCAAAAGACGTTCCACCAATGCAATTGAACCACTTATTTCAAATTTATCATCACCTCAAGACTCATATAGTCAATTGAATAATTCGTCTTCTTCTATATCTTCTATAAATCCTCCACCACCTTCGCATTCTCGTCGTTCGAGACCTGGTTCTTACGTTCCTACAATTCCACTGATTAGTTTGATCCCACCATCTTATAGTACAACTCATACTAATTATAATAATTACACCACAAAGAAAATTTGATGTTGGAATTCTTTCATATTGAAATGCATAGGTTTAGTATAGGATTTAATTAAACGGCCGGTTAGAGATCAAAAGTTTGAACATTTCTTTCTTTTCACGTATATTGATTGTACGTATAGTGTATTAATGGCAGGTGTGATTCCTAATTTAGTTAAAAAAAACAAAAAAAAAACCAGAAAACAAAAAAACAAAAAAAAAGGAAAAAAAAGAACATCGTTATTTTATTTAATATGAATTATTCATTATATAAAGAATGTTTGTTAATATCTTTCTAGTTGGATCACACCTAGTAATTTTATAAAAAAGAGCTTTTTAATTTTTGCGGGTTATGAATAAACCTTGGTAGGAAAAGAAAAGACAAGGCGACGATGTTTGTAGTTCGATATTACTTCCTATTATGTTAGACTTTAAAATTAAATCTTAATTAATAAATTATAACTAGTCATAATCAATTGTCGTGTCCAAGAGGATTGTGTAAAAACATATAGCCAAATGTTTTGCTTTCAAATACATTCTATTCTCATTAAGCGCATGATTTATCTATCGGTCATGCACTTATTGTATTAATACAGCATTTCGTAAACTTTGGCTTAGAAAAAAGGTTAAATGAATGTCTTTATGTCTTAATGTATAGGGTGTTCACTTGCATTCATCTGAATGAAATATTCAAAATTTCCATTTGCGATGGAATACATTCTTTGGTCGTAAGTATCAAACTGCTTTTGTTTGCATATGACATTAACGACATTAGTTTATTTGTTCATTTGTCTAAAGGTTTACTCAGGCGTACAAATTATCAAAAATTATTCGCTGCCTCCCGAGTTTGGTCATCCCGACCAAAACATGGAACGTCTTGGTTATATTGGATCGCAATATATGAGCTATATGAGTTATCTTACTCACACTCACCACACGTTTGTTGATAAATTTGTTAGAGATGTTGGCTTGTTAGAATCTGCTTTTCAGAGACCAAAATTCATGTTTTTTTTTTATAAGGCATCAGTGTCTAGAATGGCAGCTGGCCTAGGAGAGAGCATAATTAAGAATCACGCATTTTTAGATGGAAATAAGAGAGCAGCAATAGCTACGTTTTTGCTTTTAAATGGTTATGATCTAGTTGTTGATAAAGATCTTATTATAGATGTTGCAAAGATAGTATTAATTTTGATATACTAGAGTCTTGGATTGCTAATTTTGCACACAATTTAGATCCATAAAAACCATGTAAAATTGTTACAATTTTAGTGGTCTATAAGACGAAATTTATACTTCTCTATTTTTCGTTAGCATTCAAAGTTTTATTACCTAGCTAGAAACTTTGATAACCCTGTGAATATGTATGAGTGTGGTCAAGGGAAAATCTGTCATCGGGCTTTCTAGTGTCGTCTAGGGAAAATTTATCGTTGGACTTTCGATTATAGTTGTAATGACTTGTCAAAAAATATTATTGATAAATTATATATGGGTGTCTAAATTATTTTTTAAAAAAGGTAATTTCGACAAACATTTCGATATTGCTAGTTTTTTTTATATGAATTTCACAAAGTAGCTATACTACCTAATGTATTTTGGCATAAAGAATTCAAATAATTTCACTAAGAATTTCGACAACTATGAAAATTAATTTCGCCACTAATAAAATTAATTTTTGACAGACTAAATGTCAAACCAATTTTTTATTAAGAGGAATAATTTAGACACCCATGTATAGATAAAATATAATTGAAAGCCCGATGACAAGTTCTTCCTTGACCACACTCCCACACTCATATAAATTGATAGTATTTAGTTTACTTTTATCTAATTTCAACGATATTTGTTATTATACATACACTGTTAATGTAAATATATATAATACGGTCTAATTCCGAGTACATATTAATAAGGGATACCAATTTATTCTCTAAAGAAAAGGAAGAAAAAATGAAACGTCTACATAGTAAATTTTAATAAAATTTTTTCAATCAGAAATTGAATTGATAAAATCAGTGTTGGGTAAATCAATGCAATGGTCAAGCAAAAATTGCTGGTCAAATTGGTCTGGTCAAATTGGTCAAATGGTCAAACTGGTCAAATTGGTCAAGTCTATTATATAAATATAATATATATGTTATATAATAAATTATATTTAAAGATGCTATTGACCAATTTGACCAATACAAATTCTTTATCAAATGGTCAAATTGGTCTGGTCAATTGGTCAGACTGGTCTGGTCAGCCCAACACTGGATAAAATATAGGTGTATGTAAGTGTAGTATTCATGGGATAAATGAACTTTTTTATTTTAATTAACCAGTGTTTTTTCTTTCTCATTTTAATTAACCATTCTCATTTAATGAACATTCTGGCATAATAAGACAAAATAAATGAATACGGAACTTAAGTTGATTTGGAATTTCTTAATTAGAATGTTAAAAAACCTACACTAACTCAAAACCTTAAATTTCGTTCTTATAACAAATAAATTTATGAAAAAAGTTAGCTGATTTTCCAATGCTTCCCATGATAATAGTGTTTTCCGGTTCAAAAATAATAGTTCCTTTATATTTGTGGAAGAGAAGGAATTGCCTAAATTCCTTAATTTGGTTATAGACCTTGAGGTTCAACCAGTCAGGTAGTTGGTTAGGTATTAGTTTGGGTAGTCATTTAAAAATTTAAAAATTATAAAACCAGGAAATTAATCTTGTATGACTCAAGTTTTTTGTCAACTATTTGCTACATATAAATATCTCGCCATGAAAGATTTGATCTATCATCCGTTATTATCCTGAATTCCATTCATTTTCATGCCGAATGAAATTCTAACGGAAATATTTAATAATAAATAAATATAAGATTGCTTGTTTTTTGGTATGTAAGTACTACCAAACCAAGTGGCACGTTTCTCGAACCATAACGATAACGATAAAATGGAAAACAATTAATGCGCCCAATAATATCAATCATATGCATAGTACGACATAAATATGGTCTTGTAATGTCATAGGCAGAAATTCGTCTGATTGGCTAGCTTTGTAGATCAATTTGTAGATCTACATGTGATTATTAGCCAATCA